TGAAGGTAAATATGATTGTACAGCCTGCGAAATGAGATACCGACTCGAGCTCCGAAATGATCCCCATTTTTTTTTCTGCTTCGACCCCGAAATGATTCCCTTTTTCGCCCCACCCCTCGTCAGTGCCCTCCCCTCCTCCCTTAGTTTTCCAGTCGCTTTTACGATGGCGGCCGCGATCAATGTACCTCTTGGTCGCGCTTTCGTTAAAAAAAAAAAAAAAATATATATATATATATATATATATAATAATAATAATAATAATAATAATAATAATAATAATAATAATAATAATAATAAAATAAAAAATAATTAAACGCGTACTCTGCAGGCTAGGGTCGGGATCATTTCAGGGGCTGTACAGTTCACCAGTTCTCTTAGCGAAATTAAAATACTTGTTCCTGAGTTTATTTAATTAATTATCATTAATTCATTTGGAGATTGTATTTTCTTATTTTATTTCTTATTTTAATATTTATTTATTTATTTATCTATTTATTAAGTTGTCTGTCCATATTTAAGTAACATGTCATTTTGCAATTGGACCTTTTGTAAAGCGGTTTCCATGTTACAACTACATGGCCCAGCGGTAACCAGTGACGGCAAAAGTGAATAGAGGCCAAAATTCATCACGTGGTTCTGTTTTCCATCAAACAAATCCCGCTCAGTCAGTTTTTACAGAAATTGAAGGTTGCTGACGGGTCAAGAAGGTCGCAGAATTCAGCACTCAAGCTAACGCTTGATCAGTCCTTTCTTCCTTTTGTCCGAGAACAGACCAGACGCAAGTCACAGGTTGATGATACGGGTAGTAACAGGCAATAGCACATCTAGGGACCTGACCAATTATGATTTCGGCTTTGGGTCGAGAGTGCAAGATTTCTTGTTAGATTTCTGACTAACCAGTACCAGTACTAACCAGTTGCGTGTTATCAAGATCTGTCAATATCAGCGAGCATGAGATCATCATGGAGTGTATCACAGGCGATTTGACTGAGGTGAACAGCGTCAATGCCCGCGTCAATATAAATGTCGGTCACAACAAATCCATTCAATCTTTGTCACACAAAACTGCTAGTATCAGTGTCAACTTATCAGGACAAGTCATTTGTCTAACCAGTTGCGTGTTATCAAGATCTGTCAATATCAGCCAGCATGAGACCATCAGGGAGTGTATCACAGGCGATTTGACTGAGATGAACAGCGTCAATGCCCGCGTCAAAATAAATGTCGGTCACAACAAATCCATTCAATCTTTCTCACACAAAACTGCTAGTATCAGTGCCAACTTATCAGGAAAACTCATTTGTCTTTGCTATGCAATAGCTTACTGATATCTTTGTTTCCTTTCCCTATCCATGTAACCATTCCTTCTTGCATCTCTCTTGTTTTATAACCCAGTTGTCTCGGTACTGTTAACTCAACAGGGGCACCTAACGACGGTTTCCTCCTAAAGACACTGAAAGTACTTTTTAGGCTATCCAGAGTACTTTTAGTTCTCTAAAAACCCATTCTAAGTGGCGCTATAAAATTAGCACTTGTTCCGTCATCCTAGGGAAACTTGAGTCTTTTGCGAAATTACAAGAGCTTCAAATCAGTCACGGTGGTCGGTTGCTAGGGCTTTTGCTCCCACACCTCTCAAAACTGAGAGTTTAAGGCCATAGAGAGAAGTAGAATGCATCGAATGTAACAAAACTTGGCAAGGAAGTAAGTTGATAAATTATCTATTTATTGGTGTTTATTTCATCCCATGTGACTTCTATTGTGACGTCATAAATGATGTCCAAATTTGGCATCAGAAAGAAAATTCAGGAAAGAAATGGTAAAAATTTTACGTTATTTTTCTGTATAGAATTCTATGCTTTCTGGTGCAAACCCCATCTCAATCGGATGAAAAGGCGCAAAGTTACATTTAATTAAAGAAATTCAAATTTCCCGCCAAATGACCATATATGGTCAAACTTTAGGGGTATTTCAACGCGAAAACAATGAAGGTAGTCGCAAAGGAGAAAAGACAAATTTGCATAAAAACAAAATTGTAGTTTTTTGAGTTTAGGATGTGTGGTCTATGATGCGTATTTCGTCACGAATTACGTCATTTTGATGCCATAATGACGTAATTTGTGACGAAGTACGCGTCATAGCACCATATATGCCGAATTCAAAAAACTACAATTTTGATTTTATGCAGCTTTGTCTTTTTTCCGTTGTAAATACATTCATTGTTTTCGCGTTAAAATACCCCTAAAGTTTGACCATATATGGTCATGAGGCGGGAAATTTGAATTTCTTTAATTACCTGTAACTTCACGCCATTTTATCCGATTGAGATGGGGTTTTCACTGTAAATATTGTTTTTCTGTAACAAAAATGTTTGCAACATTTTGAACACTGCTTATCAAATTTTTAACGTTGTTACTAAAAATGGGTGCATGTCACTTATGACGTCATACTTTCAAGAAAAGTCAAAAATACCTTTACAATTGTAAAAAATTAAAGAAAACTTTTCTCCAATTAAGATGTTCTAATTTTTTGCTTCATTTGAAATATAAACTACCCCTCTGGAAACCAGAAATTGAATTTAAGAACCAAATGGGAGCAAAAGCCCTAGCAACCGAGCATCGTGAGTGATTATAATTTACCGAAAATTCTAGATGCAATGTAACGTATTACGAAAGTGAGACTTTTTCTGATTCCTCTCTCCATCATATTTTTTAATTCGAAAATTTTAGGTTTTCTTTTTTCTACAAAAATAGCCTAACCTGGGGACGTGAAATGTGAAAAATCAAACTCAAGAAAATCGTAGGGAATTTATTAGATAAGCTTCGAAAACTGTACGTGAATGGGACGGTCAACTAGAAATTTTTAGCCGCCCTCAAGTTATAGAAAATTCTAGGCAATATTTTCTTCTCCGAACGGATATTTTACAGAAAACAGTCGTTAGTGTCCCTGACTCAAGGTTTGTTTATGTTGTTAACATATTATTTATTACACGTGATAAAGTGTTTAAAAACGTTTTAGGCATACTTGTGCGTGTGTTGCTATAGCGAAGACAGGTTTTAATCAAAATTCTCTTTTTTTACTCAGATATCGACGAATGCACTGCCTCTTCTCCCCTATGTGACGTCAACGCTCAATGCTCGAATACTCGTGCGTCTTATAGCTGCAGATGCAAAGTTGGTTTTTCTGGAAACGGAAAAACTTGCAAAGGTTTGTGAAGGCTTGTGTGGTAGGGAAGCTTAAGCCAAATTTACAAAATTTTACCTTGCGGTAAAGTATTTATTTTCGTTGAAATGATCGTTGATGCTAACAATAAATATGCTTACAATGTCCTTTCGCATGCGAAAAAATGCTTAGCATAAAGGTGAGATAATGGCGCTGTCAATTTTGACTGTGTTGGAATATACTTTTATTCACTATCCATTGTTTATTTTCAGACATAAATGAGTGCACTACGAACTCTCATAGCTGTGACGTCAACGCTGTTTGTCAAAATACTGCGGGCTCACACAACTGTTCGTGTAAGGCGGGATATACAGGGGATGGAAAAACATGTTATGGTAAGTTAGAAAATGAAAGAGAAAACACCAGTTAAAAGTGTGTACTTAACCAAGTATGAGTTTTTGGCTAAAAGCTTCTATAATTAAAAACATATCAGACGGAACTTACAGATAAATGAAAACCTAACGTGAAATATTATCGCACGTTTTTAGATGTGGACGAGTGTTCTAGCAATGCTCACAGCTGTGATGTCAACGCAGTGTGTACAAATACCCAAGGATCGTATTCCTGTGCATGCAAAGCTAAATATACAGGAAATGGTACAACATGTGTTCTACTTGTACTTGGTAAGGACGTACTCTATACTTAAAGACAAGTTTATATAGAAATTCAACAACTAGTACTTATTGAAATAACACGATTATCTTGACTAAAGTGAGTTTACGTAACAGGAAGGCAAGGAAAAGAGGACGGCAAAACGCTCGTGATATTCACTCAACCTTAATGCTTTCCGGTCTTTTAAAAAAAGATCTGATCAAAGCAAAGTAAAGTTTGGCGAAAAGTTATTTCAAACAAAATTATTGTCAGGCTTATCTTGTCACACTCTTCTTCCCTCTCCCTTCCTGTTGCGCAAGTTCACTAATACGAACATAGGGACTGTAATTTATGCAGAAAATATACCCCAAGGAGATGGATAAGAAATAATAATTTCACACGGAGTCAATGGATGGGAGAGCGTACAGCAGTATTTCACATAAAAGCGCTCAGGTGTGAGTAGTACTTTCTGCTGAGATAAGTTTGGGCAGGATGATACTTTGTTCAGTTGTTTTAAGAAGTTACACACTCGTTCCAAAGGCTTCGATATGTTTACATGAAGATACAGTCAAACAAACGCTCCGCACTCAAAAGTCACAATTCACATTCCCTTTTTTTAATAAAATTATGTCATGATAGTACTGAACAAATATATTATGCTTACTCTTGCTTTAAACTCAGTCCTATGTACATTTGTACCGTTGATTCTTTAAGCCTTTCGCTTTACAAAATGAGCTGGGCCCAGTTGTTCAAAAGGTGGATAACGCTATCCACTGGATAAATCTCTATCCGGTGGATAGCGCGATTGTTTTGCCTACTGCTTATCCGGCGCTGGATAGTGATTTATCCGGTGAATGGTGCTATCCAACGTTTCAACAACTGCAACTGAGGCCTGGAGTGTGAAGAAGCCCCATCTACGTAACCTCGCAACGCCCTAGAAGATGAGAAAAAAGTAAGTGAGTTATAACGATTTTAAAACTTATAATAATCATCATGAAAATTCTTTGCAATACTAACCAGAAAAAAAACAACCCTGTACTTATACCCTAAAAAGCCAGTTACAGAAACAAATAAATACAGTGTAGGTTAGTAACCAATATAACGAAAGATTCATTATTTATTATTGTTTTTTTAACAGACGCTATAACTAATGTTGTTCATCAGTTACGTATTAGTGATTATTGAAATTTTTTAAAAATATTCAATGGATCGTCTCCTTTTTTCAGCACCATTCAAAGCTGTTTTTACAAACCTTGGTACAAGCGGAAGACTTTTATATAGTAAAACCCCAACTGGGGCCGATGCGCCAAGGGGTTCTTTGTTACATCGTTGCCCCCTTTGTACCGGGGTGGTGATTTAGATAATCGTGCACATCCAAAGGTTTATCGATGACCTTACGCAATGACTGCTTTGATATACTTTTTCATCATCCAGTATCCTTCAGCGCGGTCTTCACAAACCTAGGTGCGAGTGGGAGACTGGGTCCAACTTCTCTTGGTAGTTACTACAGTGGACAAGATCATGACGGTCAAGTTACATTGCACAGCGGTATTCAACAATGGACTGTGCCTAAAACAGGTGACTACAGAATAGAGGCGATAGGAGCTGCAGGGGGATACGACAACTACAACAGTAACAGCAGCCATTATCGAGGAAGAGGTGCAAGGATGAAAGGAACTTTTAGTTTGTCTCGAGGAGAAACAATTCAGATACTCGTAGGACAAGAGGGTGGAATTAACAATGTACGAAATACTGCAGGAGGTGGTGGAGGTACGTTTGTTGTAAGAGGAAGCAGCACACCTTTAATAATCGCTGGAGGAGGAGGAGGCATAGAAGCTTTGCTTTCACGACGTACAGGATGTGATGCCTCAACAGGCACGGCAGGTAGAGCTGGGTACAAATCATGGTCAGGAGGAAGTGGGGGACACGGAGCAACGACCGCTGACAATGACAACTCAGGTGAAAAAAAATACTATGCGTGCCTGTACATAACCAGCGAATTTGTACTCTAGCCGTTACTTAGGTCCCAAGTGATGTGAAGTGCTTAGTGATGCCAACAATTTTTGGTATTCGTCGAAATAATTTATGGGATGAAACTTCAAAAACTGGATAATTGAAACTTTGAGGGGTTACAGTAGTCGCCAATTTATCAGTCATTTCTCTGAGAATAATTTGGCGTCACCCTCTGAAGCTTTCAGGGTACATGCATGAATGCTTCATTAACACTATAAAAATAATGAAAGGTCTGAACCCAGGAGTCATTTCAAAAGTAGGTTGAGTTTGATGGTCCGGGTAAACGTAGTCCTGAATAGGACTGTTGTTGTTGACAGTGACTGACGTTTCGACAACCTGTGCGGTAGTCACCTTCAGAGTCAAAGTGAGTTGTATCACGTCAGTTGATGGTATTATACTCTGGTTATTGATCTGATTGATCAATTACGTCGCGATGTTAGTGGTCGTCTGTCAGTTAAACCGTGATGTCATTGGCTATGAAGACTCGATCGTAATCAGTAATTGGTGCGTTTCGATCCGTCTATTGTCACAGTTAAACAGTCGTCTATTGTTAGTCAAATTGTCAGTTGTCCAGTCGTTCTCTCGTTATTGGTAGTTATTTTTGCTTGAATAATTCAAAAATAATTCAAAAATAAATTGCGAGTCATGGTTGAATAAACGACAATGCAATCCCCGTACCATAAATGATCTAAAAGACGCCCGGGAGGTTTATTTAACTCCAGGGGTCCAAGGGGGCGTTTATAGATAGAAAACTCTTGTTGTTCAAGCCAGTAAAATTAGTAAATTGAATTATTTTGCTCCTTTTTGCAAATTCGTTGTATTTTGGAGTAACTGTCATGGAGGTTTTTTATAAGGCAGGGGGGCGTTTGTTAGAGAGGAACGACTAACACAAACTTAACTTCGTAGAGGGGTATATATTAGATCAGAGGCTTTATTTAAGAAGGGCATTAATAAGATCATTTACGGTAATTATGACAAAAAACTGAGTGTATTTGCAATTCTGAATTTAAATGATCCGACGCAACGCTCTATTTAATTGGGCTTAATAATTATCAAGCTAAGTGCAGAACAGGTGGGAGTTTTTGACTCTTTACGGGTGATTATTTTCGACTTGTGGAAAGCGTGTCTCAATCAGTACGTAATGAAACTTCTAAATTCTTTTTTGTTATTTATTGTTGTTTTAGGTGGTGGCGGTGGTGGGTTTTTCTCCAGTGGAAGAAGCTCAACACAGTTCGGAGGCTCAATGGGGAATGGCGGAGAAGGAGGCAAAGGATTTCTTCAGGGAGGAGTGGGCGGAAGAGCCTGGTATAACAATGCTGTAGGCGGGTTTGGAGGGGGCGGTGGCGCTTATGGAAATGGAGGAGGTGCTGGAGGTGGAGGAGGCTACTCTGGGGGAAGTAGCGGGGAGAATAAGTATGACTCCTGTGGAGGAGGGGGAGGATCTTACAACGCTGGAAAGAATCAGCAGAATGAATGCTGTTACAATACAGCTGGACATGGTCAAGTGACCATAACTTTGATGTAGTTTAGACTATAGTTTGGTATACCCAAAATCAGTGTCTCTTCCCTTTTTTTGTCTTTACATTCCGGGTTCATTGTTGACCGCCCGTGAAAAAGATAAGGTTATATTACGCTTAAAAGTATAGAGTTCTATGCATTTGGTCTCACAAAAGGGATGAACCATATACATTGCCATACTCCCAAGTGCAACATCGGCTTATTTAGAGCGGTTTTAAGTTACTAACACTGGATACATTTATAGAAAAAGCGAATTTTTTTTTTCTAACGGTTTGAACTGGTCCCCACCCCGCTTATCCCACCTTTTGAGATAGTCGGGGGCAAGAGCCCTTGTCGGGGAGAAATTTTTGACCTGGATTGTTGTTACTCTGCTTTATATTCAGACTCGTTAATCATAAATTAAAAATAACTTCAATTCAAAATCGTTCATTCTTTTTGTAAGTTTGCATATGTTCTTTTATTCATTTTGTTTTTGAGACGTTAAAATCACATGTGTAAAAATCTATTAATAGCGTTAACAATTGCTTTCTGATTATCCAGAATTTGTTTGCCTTTAGATCAATGTTTTTCGGAATAATTAATTAGTAATTAGTAATCATTCCCTGAACTTCTATTCCTGATCGAGGGACTCTGTGTAATAGTAGGCGTGGAGTGCAATTTCTCTAGTGTTAAACTATGCTCTGAGCTTATCATATGGCGCTGGTTTTTTAAAATGAACTGATATCGACGTTTTGTAAATTATCAATGACACGTATTTCTCCTAGGGGGTATTATACTGGGAGTCTCCACCCAAAATAGGTACCTTTTTTCTAGCCTCAAATTAATATATGAAAGGGTAGGGCCGGAAATCTGTCATTAGTTTATTTTGCGCTACATATAATGAAAAGAAGACTTACTGTTAGTACGTATTAATATGTGAAAGGGTTACTTTTAGCAATGGAAAGTATACGAAGGGTACGTAAGGGGATGGGGTTGCACCTCGGGACGGAGCCTCACCTGTATATATGATAAACGCTGTTGAGTAGCCCCATCGGGTCATATATTTTGAAGAATTGTTTCACTTAATCGATTACGCTATTTCTGATTTAAAGCGAGGCTTAGTGCGGAGCTATTGATATGAAAATAACTTTTTTTTTTTATTCTTTTGCAAATAAACTTTGTTTCAGAAGAAAGGTTTTGCTGTTTACTTCGTTTCGCAATTTTGATATCATTTTACTTAAGACTGAAAACTTACTTCATTTTACTTAAGACTGATCAGTAATTTGTGTTATTTGGAATTTTCTTATTCGCTCATTTCTCAAGAAAAAATATTTACCGATACAAGGTTAGAAATTTATTTGCGTTTTATTCAAACATACAGATTTTTTTAAAATTCTCATGGAGGTTTCTATATGCCAAACACCACACTTTAACTTACTGATGTTGGATTTTCAATGGTTAAGATTCGTCTTTAACTGATTTCAAAGAATTTTGTTAATCGATGTCATGGTAATACCTTCAACTTAAGACTACATTTTGACAAACTTCAATTTAAGTTTAGATGGTGGTGAAAAATTTATGGCGATTTGACTAGGATAAAATAACTTTTACGGCGCTGAACATAGTCTTCCGGTAGATTTGCCGGAATATCAATCTCAAAATGCCAAACAAGTTAAACATGAGTTGATCCACCTACCTGCGGCTTACCTGAACTGTTTCAGAGCCCGCATTTCTTTTTTGATACTTTCTGAAGTTATTTGAACAAGGACCCGTTTGCGAGAGTGAATATTGAGGAAGGAACTGAATCAAACTATTAACAACCGATATTTAGTTGCATAAAGTGAACTGCAAGCTTATTAAGTAGTATTTTGGTTCAGGTTTCAAATAACATTTTCAAGAATCGTCAGTCACGATAAGTTTGATGAGAGAAGGGAAATAACCTGCAAAAAAGTTGCGCTATCACAACCCTCACAAACAGTTAAGTCACCAACTGTGTAAAAGGAGGCGAGTTTCGGCCACATGCTTAGGAAGAGAGATCATTTACGGTGTATGCTGCCTTAAAAACACCTGAGGCAATTAAGTGATATCCAAAAATCACTAAGGTAGACTATATATCCAAATATTCCGTTACCCTCTGGGAATAGTTTTCATGAATTAAACTATTTATGCTTGTATACCTAGTTTGAGAGTAAACCATACTGTTTAATGACGACAGCTATCAATTTGGTTTTCTAAATCGCGGAGCCCAAAATGTTTACGCTGATTGAGTACATCCACCGAAACCCTCCAGTTAAGAACAAACGCGGTTAAATGTGAACATGAGGTTTATGTGACGAATACTGCCAAAATATATAAGCATAATTATATTTCTTTGAAATGGCTAATTCATGAAGAAAAGATGGACATACGTCGTGTCCAGCTAAAGAACTCGAACTTTTTAATTTATTTTGTACTTTTCAGAAATTGCAATACTAAAAGAGATATTGCAAGTATTTAACGCTGAAATTCTTAGTTAGCTAATTCCGAAATGTTATCTTTAAAATGACATGAAAGCCTGTATATAACTCAACTTGATTTTCTCTCTCTCTTTTACCCCCACAGAGGGGGTGGCATCCCCCTTGTAAGTCCGTTGTTAAACTTGGTGCCAGCAAAGAAATTACTTTTACTAAAACAAACAAATATAATTATGTCCCCCTAGAGTCATAACTTTGAGTTACAAACAGCAACGATAAGCTTAGAAACAACTGCCAGGCTGAACAGTTTTGAAACCTCATTCAGCACAACTCGCAATGGGCTTCAATTCGCCACTTTAGAAACGAGGAGGAACTGGAGCCGAAATTTCTCCCGCAAGTGCTTCTGGGATCGTTACTGGGGACGCGCAGGTCAGCTATTGTGTGTTTTCACCTGACGTCATGGAGGCCATATTTGTGTCCCAAAACAATGAAACGGCGGCCATGTTTGTATCCCAAACCACTCCCGTGGGAGTTGAACTCTTTTCGTATGCAAATGCTTTCTTCTGTTCTAATAAATTTGCATAGATGCTGGCCACGTGAGTGAAAACACAGAATAGACCTATTCGGCTAAGACCCTGTTTACATGGAGTGGGGGACCCCGGTCTAGTGGGGTAAGTTTCTCTTGTTTTGTGTGCCCCAGAGCGTGAAGACAAAAGAAACCAACCCCACTAGACCGGGGTACCCCACTCCATGTAAACAGGCCCAATGTTGTACCCAATTCAAATCTCCCGGGGTTAAAATTTTTTGTGTACTGTATTATATGCATTATAATGCGGCATTCACATTTAACTGATATGGAAATTGGTGGCCTCTCTTTATAGGTGGTTTTCATGCAGTCTCGGGAGACGCAAATAAAAATTGGTGAAATGAACAAATGCTGGTGGACAAACAAAACGAGCTAATGAGCGATCTTTTGTTTACCGTCCAGCAGCATGGCGGCGATGACGTAACGTGAAAACCACCTATAAGCCTGGTGGTTTCTTGAGGTCTCCTCGCCTAACAACCTGCTGTATCCTGTAAAATTTGCTGTAAAAAAAAAAGGCTAATAAAAATGATGATGATGATGATGATGATGAAATTCCTGAAAGAAAACGTTTTATTCCCAAAGGGTTTGAATTGGTCACAACATTGAGTTAGCTGAATTGGTCTGCCAATTTCTTCCCCTGTCCCTAGTAACAGCTCCAGAAGTCTTTGCGAAAGTTAACCCAGTCCAGACTCCTTCTCCGGCGTTTCTAAAGTAGTGAATTGGAGTCCATTACGAGTTGTAATGAGGTACATGTACCTTTCTTTTGCATGCACATGCTGTGTTGTTTCATTGTTTCCTGAATCTGACTCACAGAGGTTTTTGTGATGGAATAAAATATTTTACCATAAGTAAAATTCTCGCACGATGATTAGTCGAGAGCTATTTTCCATAAGAGTACAGACCAATTTACAGACCATGGAAATGACGTCATGGTGGCGCAATTTGTTTCTTTCTTTCTCGCGCTCGCGATTCTCCGAGAAACTTCAATGGAAATGGACGTCATGAAAACTTTCAATGTCACTATGAACTTTGCAGTGGAACCACTAGCCAACATAACATCGCGCTCGCGATTCTCCGAGAAACTTTTGATATTGTTGTACGAGCAATTGCTTATTTTTGGGCTGTATTTGGAGAATTTTAAATCATTCATTTTATTATCATTATTATTATTTATTTATAGTTTTTTATATATATTTATATTTATTTATTTATTTCTAGTCTGAGTGAGAAGAAAAGTCTAGGGCAATATTTTTCTTAGTCAAAACAAACAAATTATTACATACTTTAGAATTGAAGAGGCGAATCCTGTAAAAAAATTCAAATAATTATGATGATTTGTTCAAAGTTAAATCCATTCAATCGAATGTTAATTGTCTTAGTCAAAATGCAAAGAAAACAAAACAACCTCATTTCTCTGTGTTAAGATTGTAATCTTCTTACACAGTGATCTTGATGCTTCTTGAATGGTTGACACGGCAGCAGTTCATATTGGAGTTATGGAAGCACTTAAGTTTCACATCTAGCGTATGTGATTCTGAACACTGCTTGACTAGATCTACTCTTTCATTTAAGGCCTGATATCACAAGTAAGACAAGCATAACCATGAGGCTAAGCAAAAGATTGAGCTGTGGTCATAACCGTAAGCATTAACGCTAAAATTAATAGTTAAAACTTGTGCATCCTCCTTCTTCACATATTATTTGCTTTTAATTAGGAATTGTTTGACATGAGAACAAGTACAAATATGAGTGTTTAATAAAGAGGGGGTGATAAAAGAGGCAAACTCCTCTTTTCCAGCCGAGTTTTCTTTAATCAGTTCTTGATGGCATTGCATTAGAGGTACCCAAATTCTATGCTTCATACTGTTTATAAAACGAGCAGGAGTGTACTATCAGGTTTAAAAACTTGAGGTAAAGCTGACAGATTTTAAACTTGATAATACATGACTGAGAGTTTTTCGAATGGCTTAAAATTTCTGATAGATCAACTGATTCTTGCACCAAGAATGAGGTTATTTTGGTCTAAAAGATTGGACGTAAAGTTTAGCCTGTCCTTATCAAATATAAAGACACTCATTAAATATTAATTTCTTTTGTTTTTTCTTTATGAATCATTAATGAGTTTTTGAATGCGAGTTAAATTCACGGCCTTAAGCTGACGCTTAGAGAAAGTGAGAATATCCATACACAGCCTTAATGCTAAGTCCCATACCCCACATTGAATTGGGAAAATAAGTAATAATAAAATATGAAAGATAAGGCCATCCCCTATTTTTTCGCTTAGTGTCGAATGTGTTTCCTGATGTTGGGTCAATCAGTTGGAATGAAAAAAAAAATTAATAAAAAAACACAAGAAGTCTCAGAATAGGAGGCCCTGGTACCCCAGGATGACGTTAAAAGTTTATTCACATATTTGGATTAACAAAATGCACAATGTACTGTAAAAAATGTTCCTGTTTTTGTTCCTGTTTTTTCTATGCTGTTACTATGCTCACTTTTCAGATTAAGAGAATTTCAAGTGAAAAATGGTAGAACCATGTCGTTCCTTTTTTTTTTATTTATTTATTGAAATGCCAAGAATTTGGGTCAAAATGGATAAAAAAAGAGTATGGCCTAAGATAAAGGGGGAAATTAAAATCAGCCACTAATTTTAAGATGGCGTGAATTAAATATGACTAGAAATAGACCTGCTAAGCTTGTCTTATTCATATGCATATCTATGTATTGCAAGACAAAGGGGTAAATTCCCCTGGTGTCTTGGGAAAACAAAACACACAAGCTAAAGAGGTCTATAAGAGACATATCAGCCCTCAGTCTCCGGCATTTATAAAACAAAATAGCGATAAGCACTAAAGGAAATACACTGAAAATTAAATTTAATGGTAGGGATTTGAAGTACAGTTACCTCTGAAATCGTTTTCACTCTAGAAACGTACACATCATGCATGAATCCACGCTGAACTTTCTACGGCGAGCATCGATTTAAGGCACGGTCCTTCTCCTCCAGGAAAACGCTCAGATCAGCCAGTTTTGTTCGTCTTAAGTCCAGCTCCACAGTCGTCGTGTCAAATTGCTCGCCATGAAGTACATACGGGTAGCGAGTAAGCTGGCAAGAGTTGTAAAGGAAATTAACCTTGCAATTTTGACACTAAAAATTGACAACAAGTTCTTGAAGTCACCAATTATTACTGAAATGTCCGAATTTGCATTCTTCAACTTTAACAATATCCCCACTCGTTCAAATCCTGTGAAAATTCATCTCAATTTACGACCATTTACCGGCTTTTTGCTCTGATCTTCCATTTTCGAAAAAACAATTCTGATCAGCGGTATATGTTTGAAAGTAAAAACGTCGTGTTTTCATCTCCATTTGTCGCACTTGCACAAAAGGCCTACCACGTGATGGCTTGGCGAGCCAAGGGGAGGCTGAGAAACTCGCCGCGATCAGCGGCAAAACTAATTAGAGTCACGAACAAACAATTTGCGGATGATTAGATTCCTAATCTCCTTCAAATGACGCTTGTTACTGCGTCACAAACATAAATCAAAAAACAATTTGAGAAGAACAGAGTTAACTGTTCCTTACTGCATGCACTGTTTTCCAACATGTTTCAAAAGAGGAAATTTCAGTGCATGATATACATTTTTTGTTATTTCTTTTAGATGTCGACGAATATACATGTACTGCCTCTTCTCCCCTCTGTGATGTCAATGCTCCATGTTCGAACATTCGTGGGTCTTATCTCCATAGCTGCAGATTCAAATTTGATTATTCTGGAAACGGAAAACTTGCAAAGGTTTGCGGAGTTTAGAGAGTCGAGATTCAAGCGTTGTTTCAAGTCAAAAAGGTGTTACTTTGCTTTGCGAATTCATGCAGTTTGCTTTGGGATAAAGTTTTTCTTCTTCGTTCAAATAGTACCGGTAACTTAATTCAAAAGGCCAAAAATCAGCTACAATAATGCGAAAGGTCTGTTAGCGTCGATGCTATAACACTGAGCATACTAGCAATCCCTGTAAATTTCCCACGCAGAAACAGGTCTAGACGCCAATTTTGCGTTGTTAATTTTCATTGTCGTAAAACAATTTCGTGTCTCTGCTGTTTATTTTCAGACATAAACGAGTGAACTGATTACTCTCCTAGCTGTCACGTCAATGCTGTTTGTCAAAATACTGTGGGCTCACACACGTGTTCATGTAAAGATGGAAAACAATGCCATGCTAAGAACAGGTTCAAACAAATACAGCAAAAGAGACTGAACGCCATTTTTTACCTCTTACACTGAAACTCTTTTTCCATTATAGCGTCGGTTCAAAATTTCCCAGTTTTTCTCCCCGACTGAAGTGTTGCAAGTAAAAACAAGTTTCGATTCATAATAAATATTTTCCCATAGATAAAGAGGGTGAGGTCTGTCATCATTGGTGTTAACTTGTGTTAATGGCATGTTTACTGGGCCAAAAAATATTTGTTTCTCACCGTCCCTTGTTCTCTGCCAGACATAAATGAATGCACTACTAACTCCCATAGTTGTGACGTCAATGATTGCACATCACTCAAATAGGAAGAAATTAATATCTACTTATACTAATAACCTGAAACGTCATTTCCACTTTTAGACGGCGTAAACGAGGGTTCTATATACCAATGTTCACAGCTGTGATGTCAACCCCTTGTGTACCAATAGCCAATGATCATACTTCTGTGCATGTAAATCAAGATAATTCCGGGAATGGTAGAACTTGTCCTCTTAGTAAGAAATCATCTATGCTTATCTCAACATGTGCCTGCTTCCTCTGGATCTGGGGATGGGGAAATCTCTTTTGCTCATGTGAAAGAGACGGTCATGCTTGTCGTCTCACTTAGGGGTAAAGACATGGTAAATTTTAGCCTCCATTTGGGTGTTATGAACGGAAGGCTAATATTTTTCCCTATAAAGATATCGATTGTTAGTATAAAATGTCTCTAGTGCTCGCATTTTAAAATAGTTAGTCAATTCAGGAATTTTCCAAGTCATAAACACTACAACTTAAGCCCTAACGCCTAACAGCAGAATACTTGTCATGAATAGAGGGAAATGCAGTTCAAGACGCCCACAGTACACCCACGACTGGAGACCGAGCCTAGAGCTGAGAGTGTGTGGCTACAAAGAACCACCCTCACCTAACTCATCTACAAATTAAAATTCATAAGAATGCCTCGCTGACTATATATGTCAAATTACTGTACGTTGTTGTTGGCTAGTGTAAAATTCTTTATAGTGACCACTTTAATTAATAAGTGATTGTGAAAAGGAAAAGCCGTGAAATGTTTACGGTGGAACCTCGATATAACGAACCTCTATCTATGAAATCCTTGGTATATACATTTAAAAAAAAAAACGATATTCTTCGCCCGAGAAATAGTAAAATATTTTGAAAAGAACCTCGTGTTTGCGAATGTCCTTTAGTCAGTCCTGAGTCAGTCCATCATCATTAAATAGTAATTGTTCAGTATTGTTATTATTATCATTATTATTATTATTGTTGATTTGTTTGCATGTACTCGAAACAGCGTTCTATCAGAAAAAATATGAAACGGCAAACTGATCCATAACGGCAAGGCGATTAAGAAGTAAACGAGAGAATACAACAAAAAATATTATTTAAACATTAATTCTATTAGTCGAGGACGAGGACACGTTTACGACGACGAGGTTTAAATTGAAGTTTTAATCGAATATTATCAAAAAATCGACACCCTGGCTAGCCTCCCCGCAGACGTCCTTTGGGGTTCGTTTGTCACGCATTCATTTCTCCCCACGGACCGTGGGGAGAAATGAATGCGTGACAAACGAACCCCAAAGGACGTCTGCGGGGAGGCTACACCCTGGCATGAATGTGCTTTTCTTTATCTTTTTCTTTTTTTTCCTTTTTTTGTTTTTGTTTTTGTTTTTTTTTTCACCAGAAAAAGTAGCACAGTTAAGCGGGTCGGCTGTCGAGCGGAAAATGATAAAGCTTCTAACATTTGATTAATTAGGTTCACTGGCGCGAGTAAAATTTAAATCGCGTTCTTCAAGTGGCCCTCGTCTTCGAATCTAAATGCCTCTAATGTAATTATAAGTGGTGGCAGTAGTAGGTTCTACTCCAGCGGAAGAAGTTCAACTCAGTTTGGAGGTTTAATGGGAAATGGCGGTGAAGGACGCAAAGGATTTCTTTAAGGAGGAGTGGGCGGAAAAGCTTGAAAGAACAATGCTGACGGAGGTGAGGGTCCACATGGAGCCGGGAATTGATGCTGGCGGAGGGGGAGGATACTCTGGGGGAGGTTGTGGGGAGAATGTAATGAGTCCTGTGGAGGAGGGGAAGGATCTTACAATACTGCAAGGAATCAGCAAAATGAATGTTGTTACAATACAGCTGGACGTGGTCAAGTGGCAACATTAATATGAACAACATATTGTACTCTTACTTGATTTTGACCTAGAGCTGCTTACTATACCGTTATCTGCATTATGCATTGAGTTTAAAAACATACTTTTGATTTCTTCACAAGGTTCATTTTAATTCCATATTGAGATTTATAATAACAAGAGATTAGGTGTACGCTTAAATATCGCTGGAATCATGACTAAGGTCCTGTTTATCCGGGTAAAAATTGTCCTCATTACGATCTCTTGCCTGTGTACACTCGCCTACCCGAGCTACCCTGTGTAAGCCAACTTTTCCTTAAAAAAACTTGGCGAACCGTTTACATGAGAAACATAAAGTTGGCTCAGCTCAAAGAGTCACCCACCTTATTGGCCAGTCACCTTTTTTTATAGTAGGGTCACGCTAGTTCTGAATTTATAACTCCTGAACAATGTTTAAAATACACTTGACTTGTACTCGTTGATATAATTATACAAGCAGTGTTTTTGATTTGGGACCTTTTTGTAGTATACGAAGACACAATTTATTGATGCGCAACAACAATAATATCTTTCAATTTTCGTTCGTCAGAATAAACAAAACCAGGTGTGGCCTAGCGATACTAGGTTCGTGATTCAACTGGGAAGAACTGCCGCCCCTTGGTCCTTGCTAATTAAAACTAGCTAGTAAAGAGTTTTAATTTAAAACACTTGAAGTTAAGAAAATAGAGCAAGTCTTTACATGTTCTTCAATGCGTGATCAACGTTACAAAAAAAAAATGGCATGGTTGTTAATATTTTTTCATCTGCCAAAGAGTGTCAGTCAGTCTGAAGAGGAGCTGGTGCAAACTAAGTTCTTCGTTCTTCTATGGTAGACAATTAACTTTAATTATCAACTGTACATAAAACTGATAATTGTAAAGGTTGTAAGGGAATAGTATGGCCATGTTTAACTGATAAAGAAAATACATTGAGCCAAAGAATTATCCGTAGGATTAAATATACAGGCACCAACGCGTTAAATCGCGGAAGTAATTTTGTGACCTTTCGGCATCGAGCAGGTTGCAGAACAACAGATTGTTCTTGCAGAATGAGCTAATACGGATTTCAGCGTGATAAAAAACAAGGAGTCATAGCTATATTTGCGAACTGAAAAAAAAAAAACGCAGACACACCATGATTTCCTTCCTATTCGTCTACAGTGAATTGAATAGCTTGCACTATGGAGCTGAAAGGTAAACGTTTCAAATACCTAGATTCAAAATTTGGCGTTTCTAAACCGTTTACCTATTTACGTATGTATTTCTAAACGCTGCACTTAGACACATCACTGACTATATATAGACCGTGATATTGTTAGTATGCACAGTCTCCACTCCAGCTCATTCTTGCCAACCTTGTGCAGGCCTGCCAAACCCATTTTATAATTCAATATAAAGCTAAAAGGACCTGGAATTAGAACATCATGGCGTTTTGAGGATACCTAGATCACCCCATAAATGAGAACCTTAAGGTCTTGACTCAGCCTCAGCTCAAAAGGTGAGGTTCCCATCAAAAAATAACAATACTGATATACAGTTATTTCGAGAAAGGTTGTCGGAAAAATGTGCACGCGACAATCCCGAAAGGTAATATGGGATATGATCAATACACTGTTCCTAACGACTGTAGCTGTCGAACTTACTTTGGTTGCTTTCCTTTAGCAATCCCAAACATAACATCGCAAACATCCCGTATCATTCTTTCCAATTTTTTTGAGAAACGGTGCACTCCAAATCACCCACAATACCTGTCGGGATTGTCGCGTGCACTTTTTCCGACAAGCTTTCTCGAAATAGCTGTATAAAGAAGTACTTTAGACACTGCATACACAATTAATGACGTCTTTCCAATTACACTTTAGTTAGTGACATGCAAGCATTCCCCTAAAATTAAGTGGTAGATCAATCAACGTTAATATAAGGGTATTCTGAACACAAGAACGTCCTCTCGCTTAAAAAATTAGTCAAAAATATTTTGTTTACATGCGCGTTCGTGATTCCAATATTTCAGTTTCAGTTTATGCCCTTCATAAACTGTGGTTTCATTTTGAGCACTTTAGTTATTAAGCCATATCAAGCTGGTGTCACTTTAAACAAACGTTCACATGAACGTGAAAGCTTATTAAAGGCTCTAAGCTTTCCGTTTGGCACAGTAACAGAAAAAAACAAACAATGAAACGTAACACTTGAGGAATCTTTGGAGGGAGGGGATACCGATGTTAGTATAAACCACTGGATTAGGAGAGAAAGGGTGTTTTTGCCTTCAATTTAGATAGCATCTTTGGGGACCTGGTGACAATCTGAAATACCTCCTCCCACAGTTTGCTTGGTTCTCCCTCACATTGTTAAGTCAGTTGCCTGTCTGGACAGGTCGATGGATCCAACACGTACAAAAATGCGTGCTTCACATCTCAAATTCACTTTTGTACTGGAAGCAAAATGGTTGGAGAGCGCAATATTCTGCTGCTACTTTTTTGCTGTGTACCTTATACGGTGCTCTTTCCCAAGAGGATTGAAGGTAACTTATTGGACTTTATTACGGCATTTCAAAATATTCCACTCCGGCACCAGCTCACCGATCAGCCCAGGAAAGATGCTAAGACAGTTTTTAATTAGCTCTCCTATCCTAGGTCATGAGTTACTCGATTTCTTTCAAGGCGAGTTTTGAAAAGGGAACGCGGTATGATTCTAACAAACTGAACCGATCGTTGTTATTTTAAAGCTTGAACTTTTCAAAGGACAATGGAAATTAATTGAGCCTTTTTTCGAAAGAGAAACCAACAAATAGCAAGGAGTTTAGGGGGTGGGGCACATATACGAAGCCTGGATCTTAATAAAGTTTGTCAATTATAGTTGCAACTCATTAAAAACCACATTTCGTTTAGCTAAATTTTTATCTTTTATCTAGTGACTACTCCTTTTTTCTTTATAGCAGCTAGTTTTAAGGCCGGTAAAGTCAATATTGCTGCAGCGGGTGGAAGCTTGTTCGCTTGCAAGCAGATCTCCTTCACTCAACCTTTCCCGGGTGGAAAAGAAGTGAAAGTCTTAGCCTCATTTGGCCACGCAGTTAACAATTCAGCTCATTCTAATGGTGCTGCTATTTGGGTGGAATCGGAGGATGCAAACCAATTCCGCGCTTGCGTCTATGACTACAGCGACGGATCAAACAAAACAGCGGAATTTAATTGGGTCGCCATGCAATCTGCACCATCAGGGGCGCAGTTAGGAACAACGCTCTTAGACTCCTGGACTACTGGGACAGAATGCAAAAGGATCGACTTTCCCCAGGTTCGCTTTTGTTGTCGTTGTTGTTGTTTTTGTTTGTTTGTTTAAGACTACGATAAAATTATGACGAGATAAAACCGAATACAACAAGTAACATTATTCGCCGCAGCGACTCCGGACGTAAAAATTAAAGGATTAAAACGGTGAGGGATTTTCTGCGATCGAGCAGGGGTCGAGGTGGACTGGCTTAACAGCGAAGTGAAGTTTAAAACGAACTCTACCGTAAGCCAGGAAAATGGGCAGCTCCAGATATATTTACCGAAGTGAATTAAATGGTTTCATTTTATTGCTTTTACTTCGCGATTTATTAACCCCTTAAGCCCTAACATCAAAATTCAAATTCTCATTTGTTATCCCTGTACGTTTTCAATAGAAGTAGTGGGGAGAATTTGTTGACGTATCAATTAGATTCATCCTGTGTGATCATGACCACTCTGTTTTATAAAGCAGTGATATTACAAGGAGAAATTTGACGCTGATCATTCTTAGGGCTTAATCTTGCTTGAGATGTTTCGATGTACAACAATGTTATTGTGCATGAATGACGCCATGTTTATATAATGCGATTCAGCCACCCCGGCCTTAGCCATATTGTGAAAATTGGGACAGATGTCAATCCACAAAATATATTTTGTTTCTAGTTGTTTTCTGACATATTTTAAAAGAACATTTATGAATATGAAGTTGACACGTGACACTGAGACCTTGAAATCTTTGCCGGATGTTTGATGTTTGTATAACCCTTTCAATACTAAATTTAAGGCTGTTGATATACTGTCTTTTATCAATTATACAAACTTCAGGATTATTAAATGTTGATCGACATTCCCGTTTTTTATCATATTTTCAGTCTTAAAGAGATAAATGCATAAAAAGTAAAACGTTTCTTAACAATTTTTTTTAAATCTAAGGAACATTGTCTTTTACTGAATACCCCTTGGCAAATTTCGCTAAAAATTAATCTGGCAATCCCTCCATTTTTAAACCATTTTAAGGTAAACATAAATAATATTTTCAGAAAACAAAATGTAATTTCATCTTCACAGTACTGGCATTTCTAGTATTTTATTTTGTTTTGGAATAGTGTCTACTTTGACACTTTTCTAACATCGAAGATGGTCAACTGAAGACGGCCAAAAGTTCATGGAAGTATTATTTTAAACTTTTTCCGGTCACGTGAACTATAAGTGTACATTTTCCCGTATTATTTACACCAAGTGACTTGAGAGGCTTCAATTAAATTTCCACTTAAATTTCATCGGTACTTATCCATAAAAACATATTCCAATGACCTATCCCTTTGATTTAATTTACAAGCAATCACTCATTCTATTTATAGTCATTACTACTGGTCATTCATTCATTTCTATTTATACGTATAATCTACTTATTGTCAATTAAACATAGTAAGTGTATCCTGTTGTCTTGCCAGGAGCGAAGAGTTCATATCCGCACATACGCTCGTGCGTACAGCTGAAATCTGTTTTAGTACCAGAAAGCACTTTATCCGATAAAACCGGGATGACAGATATATTTTTTTCGCATTATATTGGAGTCCCTTTCTTAGTATTTCCTTCATCCTTATTGTTCTATCAACGGCTCACTGCAAGAAACGCTATAGTTGGGTGAGAGATGAGTGACGGAGCTCTCTTGCAATTCTGCACAGTCATAATAAGCACAAGGACGTTAATTACTATTGATAGCGTTGCAACAGAGTTTGCCCTTCTGAAGGGTAGACGTATCGCCCTCTGCTTGAAACCTCTTTGATTACGTCACTGTTTTACCTTTCCCGTTAACATTGTACCTTATTTTACCGATAACTAGAGAGGCGTAAAAAAAAACGACGAACTACTACATTTTTCCTCCGTATTTATTTGCTGAAACGTACGAAATGGCGTTCCTGGGACCCTAAATCAAAAAGTTTTCTGCGGGAGCATGCCCCCAGGCTCTCCTAGTTTGGAGCGCCTTCGGTAAATTAACTTTCCTTCCCGGGTGCGTATACCTTCAAAATCTCACACCATTCCAACTACCTCGTCTGCTCGCTAGTATTCTTAATTACTCGTTCGTTCTGTTTTTTTCTAGCGTTTCCAGTCCCTTCCAACTATACTTGTGACTCCTAGTCATCAGGTTCCAGAGCGACCTCAGGATGCCATGGCCGTGTGGGTGGAGGACTTGACCCAAAGCAGTTTTAAAATTTGCCTCCGAGAAATAAAGATTTTCAACGGTTTTCATCAGAATATTAAAGTTGTTAGTAAATTTGACGTGCTTGTCTATTATTAAATTTCAAGTTCTTCACTTTAAAGCAAATACCGTAAATCCTCTATTAAGCCCCCCCTGGGGTGCTTATTTATTTCAAACCCATTTGAGGGGGGGATTATTTGAGAAGGGAGCTTATTTAATTTCTCCATAAAGAACTAGAATGCAAAGGGGAAAAGGTGAAGTAGAAAAAGTTTTAGGTCATACAGCTGAGGATCAGAATCAAATCCGACCTTCCAGTTAGTAAGTCATCCCGGATCAGTCTTCATCAATTTATACAGTAGTGGTTGATTAATTCAGTCTATCATTTATTAATGAAGAAAATTTGGGAGGGGAGGGGAAGGGAGGGAAGGGGCGTGGCTTAATAGAGAGGGAGGGCTTATTAACTTTCTTTCGCTGAGAATGGGGGCTTATTAGAGGAAGGGGGCTTATTTGAGGGGGGGGGGGGGCTTAATAGAGGATTTAGAGTAAAAACCAATAAAATTTCTCTTTCACACGTTAAAATGGTATCTTTGTATTAGCCTGTTCTAGGCGTTTAGATGGTGGCGGACAGCGAGTTCAATCGTACGCCCGCGCCCTACAATCTGAACGCCTGGGACACTCAGGCTATATTTCTATAAATGGAGATGTATATAGCGAGATGTAAGAGTTGGTCACCAACTAATAATTAAATTGTTTATTTTTGACTACTGGTATAGACAGGAGAAGTCTAACCACTGACCCACTTTTCTGTCCGGCGGATCTAGAGTGCCTTTATAGTCTGTTTACTTGTAGGTCAATATTATCAGAAGCTCACACAGCCTGGGGACACTTATTTGGCAAATTCACTAGTGAAAATGATAACCCGAAGTCCTTTTTCTTATGTTCTTTTAAGCAGAACTGGATGGCATTTACCACTTTGAGGGTTCAAAATTTTTCTTTGGCTGATAGTTTGACATTTACCAACAACAGATCGTTATTTCGATCGCAAGATAACTTCGCCCTTTGTCAGGTATACGAAAGAAGTTAAAAGGTAACATTTTTAAATTGCACTGTTTTGCAATGTGCATTTGTATTGCATTCGTTCTCTTATAATCGAATGTGTCTGAGCATAGCTTGATATTATTATTTGTTTGTTTGTTTGTGTGTTTGCTTGTTCGTTTGTTTGCAACATAGCTGCCCAAATACTTCTTTTAAATAATTCATTGCTTTTCTTTACCAGAACATCACCTTCGCAGATCCGTTGTTTGCCCCTCCGGTGGTGTTAGTAACACCAAAATACATTTACAGTGGCAACAATTTGCTTTCTGGTTGTAACGCAGTCACCACCTGGGTTGAGGTAAGATTGTTGTTCCTTTACTGTATCATTGTTAACCGCAAAAAATGCACCGCCTGTTAATAAAAAAGCCTGTTCATGTTACATGTTCAAGAATTTTCCAGTAAGGTATGAGATCTCGGTGGCCCATGTTATATATATTAGAATATACGAGATTTATAGGAAGCAACTTTGACGATACTGGACTGCATGATTATTATAAGAAAAAAAATAATAGAATATTTTATTTCATTTAAAGAATTCAACCAAAACAGATACAAAGATCTGTGTACGAAACTACGGCAGGAGCAGTAACAGTAGCATTAAAGTCGACTTCCTGGTTATTGGAGGTATGTAAAAATACTTACTTAATACAAAGAAATGAGAATAAAAAGTGTTGTTTGTTGTTTAAGATAAACAGGCGGATCCGTTTTAAATTCAAGTCTTTATTACATGCACACCGTGCTTTAAAGCCTGCGAGGCCTCCGCAAGAAAGGAAATTCGCCTCAAGCGCGCCCTCGTGCGGCACACCCGTACCAAGAATTTCCCTACGAAAGACCCCCCGAGAATTAGAACTTATGTGTTATCGAAGAGCCGTCTGGTGGAAACACGTGACCAACTATTGAAAGAGGCCTATTCTGTTGGTCCTGGTTATATCTGGCTTGTTGTGTTATGTTTGTAAGATTTAGTTAGCGTTAATTGAATGACGCACAGGATAAATTTTCCAAAAAAACTGTGCGTCAGAAAAAGGTATAGGCCGAGATAAATTTGTACAATTAAGCATTTATGTAAACTGTATCTTTCACTTTGTTGTTGTTGTTTCATCGAGCTTAGACTTATGCGAAACGTGATTTTTGTACACTCCTACCAGATCTGGATCCTTGTCTGGACGTAACTTGTGATTACCACTGTCTTTGTAAGGCTTTTGGACCATACGATGCCCGCTGCGTGCACGCAGAAAACTGCCCATCCTACCAAGAGCCCATATGTTCCTCCAACGGAACTACGTTTGATAATAGGTGTCTCTTTGAACAGGAAATGTGTCTGTTGCGACTCAACTACTCTGTCCAACATCCCGGAGGTTGTGAAGGTTAGCAACTCAGTATGCTGCTCATTTATTAGTTTCTAAAGACTTTATCTGAAACATCAGATTTAGACTGTTAACTGTAAGCATTTTAGGAAAAAAATTCACACCAACTCCTACAATAATCATTTACGCATTCAATGAAAGCTATGTTTTTGTTGCTGCTTTCATTTTGCTGTATGCATTTACCATAATTTAATGATTTTTGTTTTGTTTTGTTCTTTTTGTTTTTTTGTTTCCGTTTCTTTTTGTCAGGGTTCCCATTCCAGCGAGGTCGAATTCACATGCCCCACATACCATCTTTGGGGTACTCTCATTGCGAAGCTGTTCGTTTCCGACCATTTGTATTCTATCCTGACAAACCTATCCAAGTACAGATAACTGTCAATCACATCGATACCAGTGACATGACATATGTCCACGATGCTGCTGTGTCGTGGATTGAAGATGTAAGTTACGAGCAATTCACTGGGTGCGTGATGGCGGCAGGGTATAACGAGCGCAAGTCCAGTGCTAATGTGTCCATAGACTGGATAGCGTATCAGGGAGCTCCAGTGGGTGGGGTCACTGGAGAGGTGCGCATGTCACAGTGGTGGACTGGAACGACTTGTAAGACCGTGAGTTTCCCTTCGGTAAGTCAGTAGATCTTTTCAAAACGCATACCTACTGCTTAACTGCTTCTGACTACGACGACGACGACGACGACGACGACTAACAGTATCACTCGCTATCAATACCCCTACCGGGCTTCCATCAGAGGTCTACTATGAAAATATAAAGCCAATACGTGGCTTTTTTATAATAAATTTTCTGGATAGTTCATTGAAAAATTGTTTAAAAGACCTCTTTGGCTCGCATATTTTGTTTTCCCATTTCAGACTACGAGAGGTTAGCTCATCAGAACTATTTTTCTTTTTTTCAAATGTCGTCCTTTTCACTAGTGCATATGTGTGCATAACGTTGTGATCTTTATTGTGAAAACAAGAATGCAAGCTGTAAAGGTCTATTTCCCTCACATCAAAGGTCAATGTTTTACTAGTTTTATAAGTAACGTCAAATAAACTATCGGATTATGAGACAAATGGACTAGATTATTTAGTGCTGGGATTTGTAATGCAAGCTACACTTCAACCCAGAGAAGTTACCAGACATTAGAAGAAAGGGCTCAAGGTCTGTTATATGAGACCGTGTATGAAATGACACGGACCATTTTGTCAAGAAAAGTGTCAGTTAGACGCCATCAAAGCGTATTTTTGTTTTACCCCATTGCCTGTTATTCCGATACCATCCTCGGAGACCCAGGGGCAGTCAGTCGGGTCGGGAGAAAAGGCGGGACGAAAGTTTTCATTACGGGCGAAAGAGCCCCTGGGTACTGACTCTCAACGGACCATTTCCAAAAATTCAAGCGGATACCGGCTCCTGATTGGGCAAAAAAAATGCTTTGTATTATTGTGCCCAATCGGCGAACACATCTCAATGAGTTCTTTTCGTGTGTTCTTACATGACGGCTATTGTCTCGATCACGGCTTGTCTGTTGTAGCTTATGCACCAAAGAAATGCACGCAGTCTGGAAACTTTCAGTTTGATATAAAATCCCCATCTGATCCAACTCGCTTACTTTGACAAATGCAAGCGAACTCTTCTGAACCATATCAAAGTTCATGAAGAGAGAATGAATTTTGTTATTGCCTGTTTACGTCCTTCACAAAACGTGAAATTTGGCATTTTCACGAGTAGTCGTGCAGTTGACGGCAAAGAAATGTACAAAAAAGCGTGACACACGTGCAAAGTTGTTGGTTAGCCTTGTCAAGCTGTTACTCATTTGAATTTCTCATCGCCGCTGCATCTTAATTGTGATCCGTCAAAAACAGAATATTCTCGGGGCAAATTCAATTGCTCTTGCTGATAGTAACCCAAACGTTTATTCAACTCATCGGTAGTTCCTTTGTTTCTGGTTAGGAAAGTAGAAAATAAAAGTTTCCCTTGTACGCACAAGCTTGGTGAACGAACCGGGCAAGTGTGGCGAGACAATAGCCGTCGTGTACGAACTCACGAAAAGAACTCAGGAGAAATTGTTCGCCGATTGGGCACAATAATACAAAGCATTTTTTGTGCCCAATCAGGAGCCGGCATCCGCTTGAATTTTTGGAAATAGTTCGGTGAGAGTCGGTACCCAGGGGATCTTCCGCCCTTACTTGAAAACTTTCGTCCCGCCTTTTTTTCCCGACCCGACTGACTGCTCCTGGGTCTCCGAGGATGTTCCTATACTTAATTTTATACCATTTTCCAATCAGGGCAAGTTTTCAAAGGATCCTTCAGTGTTTGTTACCGCAGAACATCACCGTGCCGGACTGAAGAGAGACGCCGCCAGTATTTGGTTAGAGGACATCACACAATCTTCCGTCAAAATATGTTTACGGGAACTGCAAAATTACGCTGGCTCCCACGAGGACATTTATGTTGTAAGCATTTATGATAATTTCATCACAACTTATAAATATAATTACTGATTCAGTTTGAGCTCGAGATAGATTGAGAATTAGCTCTGAGGTTAGGACCTGGACAGCCAAGATCCCTTTCGACCACTTTATAGTCACCGTAAAAGTGTTTTTTTTAAATGCGTGAAACTGTAACTAAACGATTTATTTGAAGGCGCGTTTTCTCAAATGGTAACTAAATGGTAACTAATTGGAAGAATTCATGTACATAAATGAATAAAAAAGATTAGGCTTGTATTAAAGTCTTCCTTTCATTTCTACCCTGCTTGAGTGAAATAATGTTTTTAACATCAAAAAGTTCGCGCGTAATTGGGGGTATCAACCTTTAACCTCTGACGTCACAGTTTGTTGCTGTTAACAACTGATAAGTCAGGGGCTTTTAGTAACAGTTTCCAAATGAATATAAGGACTAGTTCGACGATGACCTCCAAACAAGGAAAGTCACGTGACACTTCGTCCCACTTCCACTAATTGAAAATGCTCGCCTAATTTGGTCAAAGTTTGCAGCTTCAGCTTCAAATTATTTGTTACCGTGTACATGTCCGTACGCGTCTTAGTGAAACGTTCATCTTACAGCGCGTATGCCTGAAGAGAGGCAGGGACCAACTCTATTTGTCCCTTTAAAGAGATGCCCGTCTTATATAGAGAGTCAAATACTATGATTGGAGAACAACAGGGACCAACTCTAGGTGCCCGTTTTGGGGAGGTGTCCGTCTTGTAGAGAGTCAAATGATATGACTGAAGAACGGCAGGGACCAACTCTAGGTTTCTGTTTTAGGGAGGTGTCCTTCTTACAGAGTACAGAGTCAAATACTGCTGAGGAACGGCAGGGACCAATTCTTGGTTACCGATTTAGGGAGGTGTCGGTCTTAAGTCAAATACTGGAACTGAAGAATGGCAGGGACCAAATGCAACTCTAGGTTTCTGTTTTAGGGAGATGTCCGTCTTACAGAGTCAAATACTGTATCTGAAGAACGGCAGGGACCAACTCTAGGTGCCCTTTTTAGGGAAATGTTCGTCTTATAGAGAGTCAAATAAATTATAACGACAGAGGAAAGGCAGGGGTCAGCTCAAGGCGTGTCCGTTTTAGGGAGGTGTCCTTCTTATACAAATTTGAATAGTATGACTGAAGAACGGTAGGAGCCAACTCTATAGGTCTCCGTTTAGCGAGGTGTCGCTGTCTTTTAAGGGTGTCCTTTAAAGAGGGAGTTGACTGTATTATTTTGAAATTTATTTTGTTTTAGAACTGGCTGGCGTTTTCTTCACTTCACAAGCCTCTTTTTGCAGAACACGATTCTGTTTATTTTGCAAACTCTGGGATTCCTCCAGCTGATCATAACAATGCTTTCTGCGAGGTCAGTTATCACTGTCTCATGTCTATCATTCCGTAACTGATTTACCTGTCTGGCGACTGATAAACATGAAAGTATCTTTTTTTTAACTTGCTTTTTTTAATTATTTTTTAGGATATTCACTTTATCAGGGTGTACAATATTACCCCGACTATCTTCGTGTCAGCGAACCATACATCTACTGGTGGAAATCAGGACCCCATGCACAATTCCATTACCACTTGGGTTGAGGTAAATTGACAGGAACAACTAAGCCAACATTAAAGAAATGAATTTACAAAGGACACAAGCTGAGGCAAAAAGATACAAGAAATTACATGTAACATGCATGACTTGCCGACATAGGAAAAGGAAGCTTACTATTCAGTTTTATACTCAGGCTTTTTAGGCCCACGATAAACATTTAAACGTCACAAAATATCTCTGGCTGCTTACTTGACCAAACTACGCCGTATAGTACGATCGACTGCCAAGAATTGCTATGTCCCCAAATGGCCGCCATTTTGGATTTGTCATCTTATGTTTGCAAAATTGATATGGGAATATTTTTGCAAACGGATCATTAAAACTTAACCCTAAAATTCTCAATTTGCATCCGTGCTCATAAACTCGGTTGCCACAGCAGCACATACAATGGGATGTAAACAAAACATGGCGCTAAAAATGGCTGTGAAGGTAACAGAATTTGGTGGTTGTAGCTGTTGAAAGTCTGAGCACGTTCGGTCGCCTTCTACTCTCCCCTTTCGGTCTGGACAGAGTTGAAAATGTTTTACTATATATTCTTACTTGTTGCTGTTGCTTATGGTTGTTTGTAGTATAATTTGTTATTTTTTATATAAAAAAAGCCTTATCAAAGTATCGCAGAAGGCACACACAACTCTTCCAAATTACCTGGATCAATAGAGCGAACGTTTTTGTCGTCAATCGACCGTGGCGACCGTTGTAAGAGGCCAAAATCACATGCAGCTTAATTATGTATTTTTTTTTTCAGTACATTAACACAACAGGCGCCCGAGTTTGTTTAAAAGAACTGTACGAATCCAAGTATGACCCGCTTTCCGTATCATACACTGTATTGTCAGGTAAGAAGTGGTGGGTTTCAGAAGGGAGTGTTCATGAATCACTAGCGGGGAGATCTACTAAAAAGTGTAAGTCAAGGGTCAAAAGACATTGACCCTCCCTTAAATTTGGGTTTACAAACTCTAACCCCGCCCAAAACGTAGGTCAAAACATCATGAACCTCCCTTGAGAAAGCTTCTTTTTCAATCAGTTATTTCACTCTATCTATTATTGAAATCAATTTGGACACACTGTCGATAGCGATCACCTATTTCTGACTTCGCGATCACCTATTTCTAAGTTCGTACTTGCAGCGTAAGTAGTGTTCTAAAATTAAGAAAGTGCACATCTGAGTAAACAAATTTGTTAAAAACTGTTAAAAAATAGGATGTTCGTGCATTAACAAAAGCTGCCAATAATGCATCGGCGAATCGTCCAAGCTTTGGCTTCTTTAATTTACTATCTTGAGATTGGCAAAGTAGAAGAAAATTTGAAAGTTCTTCCTTTCTTTCAATTTGGAAATTTTCCAGATAGTCTCCGTCCCTATTATGAAACCACATTGCCATGCATAATAAGCTTACAGACAAAATAGACATACTTGTTTGTAGGTTAAGGTGCCAAAACGTGAGGCGGCTATCCCATTTCATCGCCTCACTCAAGACATATGTACACATTATTTTTCCCACAACCACAATGGTTAATAAGGAACAACATATTTTGGTACTCCACGGATTGCACAAAGAGTTGTTTTAGGGCTTATGAACTGAATATGGGTTAGCATGTATGAGAAATGTAAGTACCTACGATCGGAACTGGTTCCCAAAAAGGATTCAGTTTATTCTGTGTCCTCAAAATTCTAGATATTTGCCAAACAGGATGGAGTTACTTTGGCGGTTATTGCTACTTCACAAGTGCCGCATGCTCTTCTTGGATGACCGCAGAAGCAAATTGCTCAACCATGAGTTCAAATCTGGTGACAGTGCACAACCAAGAGGAAAATGTTTATATTCAACACCGTCACAATGGAGACAGATCCTGGATTGGACTCAATGACCGAAGCGTGGAGGGCTCCTTTGTGTGGACAAACAAAGAGATAAGTAGTTTTAGGTTCTGGGCTCCAAGACAACCCAACAACTGGAAAAACGGAGACTGCGTTCACACCCTTGGCGCCAGGCATGGTTACACTTGGAATGATGTGCCTTGTGATAAATGCTACAACTACACTTGTTTTACAGGTTAGTAAAGTATTGTTTGACATCAAAAAGGAAACTATCCTGCATGAAAAAAAAAAATTCTCTGCTTAACTGTTTTAAGAGCACCACGTAGAGCTTTCGGTTTCCAGTCTGAATGCCTTGAAAGCTAAAAGACGAGTATTAGTTTTGCGAAACTACAGGCTGGAAGGCGAAAGCTTAATGTTCTACTCCAAACTGAATAGTCAATTTTGCAGAAAACCTTTTTATGCAGGATAATTTCTTATAGGAGATAAACTTGAAAAATGTTAATGTGTTGACTCCGCCATTTTCAAAAGAGCCAAAGCTTGCATGCGCAAGAGTAAAACAAATTTGTAAAAACGCGTTGAAAAGTTTTTCTTAACAGCATGCATGTGGGTTTGATTTGTTGAAGCTTTGCTCGCGTCACTGCGCTTAGATGAGTGTACAATTAACTTCCATACTTGTGACGTCAATGCTGCTTGTCAAAATACCGCGGGCTCATACACCCGTTTATGTAAAGCCGGATTTACGGGAGATGAAAAAACATATTCTGGTAAGAATATAATGAAAAAAATGCCAGTTCAAAGTATCTTGGCACTTAAAATAAGTTTTCAAAGTTGTGTTATTATGTTAAATCTTCACCAAACATATACATTTTTATTAGACAGCAGTTACACCTGAATGGTGCACAAACATAAAATCATATTTCATATGAGTATTTTTAAGTAAGATGTAGAAGAGTGTTCTGACAACGCTTAATGCTGGGATTTCAAAGATGTGTGTCAAATACCCCAGCTTTATATTGTATTCTCGCGCAAATTTAATGTTTCTATGCATACATGACTTAAAAATATACAGCTATTTCGAAAGGGTGGTTTTGAATTAATTCACTGTTCTTCAAAGAAGTTTGAAAGAATGACACAGGGGAACATGGACGTACGTTTGAGAGTGCTAAAGGAAAGAAACAAAAGTAGGGTCGACAGCTACAGTCTCAGGAACAGTGTATTGATCATATCCTATACTACCTTTCGGGATTGCTATTCGCGTGCACATTTTTTCCGACAACCTTTCTCGAAATAGCTGCATGTACAATCAGAACAAATACTGCTTTCCTCCATCCAAGGCCAACTGAAACTATTCCTTGATAAAAACTTGATAAAATTGCACTATTATCCAAGTAGGGACGCATAAAAGTGGGAAATACTTTTCTTTAAGATAAGACTGGTAATGATATTTTACCCAATATAAAAGTTTTAAACTGAAAATGCCCTGTTGCCCATTCGTGGAAACAAAAAGCAATTGGAGACATTTCCAGAAGCTTTGGTTACGTTACAGGAAGGTTGTCGGTTTTTTATTATTATATTTTCTCTTGCCCTCATTATCTTTATTTGTTTGTTGTTGTTCCGATCGAGTGAAAGTTTTTAAAATTTGGAAGACAAGAAAAGGTCTTTTAAAGAATTTCTTAACAAGCCTTTGCTTGGTTCTAGACTTAGATGAGTGTACTACCAACTCTCATATTTGTGACGTCAACGCTGTTTGTCAAAATACTGCGGGCTCACACACCTGTTCGTGTAAGGCGGGATATACATGCAATGGAAAAACATGTTATGATAAGTTAGGAAATGAAAGAGAAAATGCCAGTTATGGGAAGGTTTGTCGGTTTTCTCTTCAGTTAAGTTATTTTAAAATCATATTGTCGCTTATCCTTCCATCAAAAAAGACCTGCACATGAAATTTATATGGTACATTTTGAGAACCGGTTTTATTATATTTTCTCTTGCCCTCATTATCTTTATTTGTTTGTTGTTGTTCCGATCGAGTGAAAGTTTTTAAAATTAAGTTGCTCCGGTTTTTCATAAATCACATGGAAGACAAGAAAGGGTCTTTTGAAGAATTTCTTAACAAGATTTTGCTTGGTTCTAGACTTAGATGAGTGTACTACCAACTCTCATACTTGTGACGTTAACGCTGTTTGTCAAAATACTGTGGGCTCACACACCTGTTCGTGTAAGGCGGGATATACAGGGGATGGAAAAACATGTTATGGTAAGTTAGAAAATGAAAGAGAAAGTACCAGTTAAAAGTGTTTACTTAACCAAGTAGTTTTTGGCTAAAAGCTTCTATAAAACATATCAGACGGAACTTATAGATAAATGAAAACCTAACGTGAAATATTATCGTACGTTTTTAGATGTGGACGAGTGTTCTAGCAATGCTCACAGCTGTGATGTCAACGCAGTGTGTACAAATACCCAAGGATCGTACTCCTGTGCATGCAAACCTAAATATGCAGGAAATGATACAACATGTGTACTTGGTAAGGACGTACTCTATACTTTATACATAGGCTGCCTGATTCACCAAAGTTCCAACAAATGCAAAGATGAGTTTATATAACAATTCAACGACTAGTACTTACTGAAATAACACCATCATCTTGACAATATTGAGTTTTCGAGTTTTCCTACTAATGCGTGAATTCTTCGCTTGAAGAACTCATAAAGATTACAGTAATATTTATTCTGAGACAAGGAATGTTTAGATTGCAAAATCTCCCAAAATGAGTAATGTTTTTAACCCACATAAGAGCATTCCCGGCCGCCAGCTAAATGCCGCGTCACGCAAAAGCCTGGAAATTCAAGCGTCCTCTCTCGCAAAATGAAGAACCCTCGTGAAAGTAGAAACTCAGAAGAATCGATAGTTTCTTAGTTTGATTTTTGGTGACGTCACGTGCTACCCAAGAATTATGAACATGGGAACTGTAATTGATGCAGAAAATATACCCCAAGGAGATGGATAATAAATGATAATTTCATCCGGGGTCCATGGGTGGGAGAGCGTACAGCAGTATTTCACATGAAAGAGCTTAGGTGTGAGTAATACTTTCCGCTGAGATAAGTTTGGGCAGGATGATACTTTGTTCAGTTGTCATACTTAAGAAGTTACACACTCATTCCAAAGACTTCGATACGTTTGCATGAAGATACAGTCAAACAACCGCTCGGCACTGAAAAGTCACAAGACAATAAAATTATGTCATAATAGTACTGAACAAATATACTGTCTTAAGTTTACTTTGCTTTAAACTCAGTCCTATGTATTCTATGTTGAGCCTTTCGCTTTACAAAATGAGCTCTGCCCAGTTGTTCAAAAGGTGGATAACGCTATCCACTGGATAATGATCTCTATCCGGTGGATAGTGCAATTGTTTTCCCTAATGCTTATCCGGCGCTGGATAGTGATTTATCCGGTGAATAGCGTGAAAATTCTTTGCATTACTCACCAGAAAAAAAAAAAAAAAAAACCCGTACTTACACTACAAGGCTTTTTATTCTTTACTATTATTTTTTAACACACGATACAATTAATGTTGTTCATCAAATACGTATTAGTGATTATTGATTATTTTAAAAATGATCAGTGAATCTTTATATTTTCAGTAACGTTCAAAGCAGTTTTTACAAACCTCGGTGCGAGTGGAAGACTGGGTCCAACTTCTCTAGGTAGTTACTACAGTGGTCAGGATCATGACGGTCAAGTTACATTGGTCAGCGGTATTCAACAATGGACTGTGCCTGAAACAGGTGACTACAGAATAGAGGCAATAGGAGCTGCAGGGGGATATGGTTTAAGAAGCAACAATGGCCAGTATCGCGGCAGAGGTGCCAGAATTAAAGGAACTTTTCGCTTATCCAAAGGAGAAACAATTAAAATACTTGTAGGTCAAGAGGGAAGTATAAACCTTATAGCTTATAGTTCTGGTGGTGGAGGAGGTACGTTTGTGGTGAGAGGGAGCAACACACCTTTGATAATAGCTGGAGGAGGAGGAGGCATGGAAACTGTTAAATCAAGACATTCAGGATGCGATGCTTCTACAGGGACAACAGGGAATCCTGGGTACAAGTCATGGTCAGGAGGAAGTGGTGGACAAGGAGCAACGACCGCTGACAATGACAACTCAGGTGAGCCGAGTGTGTCAAGATGAGTATAGTAGGGCCACCACGACAGCAGTCTTTGCTAAATCTACATGTAAAATCTGACTACATCCGCCTTCTTCAATATGGAGGCTAAACCCATCGACGGAGGTCAAAGTCCCCAACTTTTTGTATCAACTTTATCTAGAGTCATAAGAGAGACGTTATATAGGTCACTCACGAATTAAAAACAAACCAAGAAAAACTCTAGCTCCCCTTAGGATTCGAACCAATGACATCAAAGACAACAGTCCGCGTTTAAAAGCAAATTTCCTCATTGCAAAGTTTTGACTTTTTCTTGTCTCTTTTTCGGTTTGATCAACGGATACCATCAAATCCATCGTATGCTGACCAATTTTTCATATCAATTAAAACGTTCAAAATGAAGGAACTTCAGTCATCAGCCTTCATAGCTGCCCTAGACTTTTTCCCCATGTTTCCTTAAGATTCCTCGGAAGAAGTTAACAATCTTCGCGTGCTAATAAACTACTTGGATACTTAAAGAGGAACACGAGGTTCATACTTAGGACAGAAGTAAGGGAAACGCTATACCAAGCCCTAGTTAGGCCACACTGATTAGGGAAATGCCAGGCAAATTTGGGCCCCGCGGTCCATCGAGCTCATTGTCAAGCTTGAGCGTATCCAAAAGACGCGCGACTAAGTTTATCTTAAAACTGCCTTATTCTTCTAATGTAAGTTATATGGCTCGTTTACAAACTCTAAACCTAGTACCTATTTGTTACTGGCATGAACTTTTAGATCTAACCCTTTTCTTCTAATTGACACACGGTCTCGTTAACTTGAACTCCTCTGTCCTACCCGCTGAAGTTCGCAAATACGGTAGACGCACTACTTGATCCTCAACCAGCAATGTTAATAAATGCATAATTAAGAAATATAAAACTACTACTTACCAGAAAAAACTAGTAGAATTTGGAATTGTTTAGCGGATGAACTATTTGAGCTCATCGACCTTAGCTTCCTTTAAATCGGTTATTCTTAATTATTACTAGGAGTAATCAGAGCTTAGGAGAGTGCGCTCGATATGTTTGCTAGGCGTACAGGTAGCAGTTGAGGGGAAAGGGTGGATGGTTCTTGCGATAGATAACTATGATTATGGCATATTTTGAACGTAAGGGTTGCGTACAGCGAAACCTCGATTTAAACTGTGTATGATAATGAAAAGGTTTTGAAGGCTAGTGATCAGCGTGATGTCGTATGGTTCGTCTAAGTGCTTGTTATCTGAGGAGACACTGGCTAGAGTGCTAGCGCTTCGGGCGTGTAAAAAGAACTTTTTCAGTCGTTTTAATGGCGTAATAGATATATATATATATATATATATATATATATATATATATATATATAAAATTGTAAATTGCTTTTTTACCCAGGAAGCACTTAAGAGTTCATATGAACTCGTTTAAACGCGTCCGTGCGTTCCAGATCGAATTGGAATTTGGACGTGTTGGTTTCTGAGGAGAGGGGAACACCGGAATACCCGGAGAAAAACCTCTCGGAGCAAGGGATAAAACCAACAACAAACTCAAACCACATATGGCATCGACGCCGGGATTTGAACCCGGGCCACATTGGTGGGAGGCGAGTGCTCTCACCACTGCGCCACCCTTGCCCCCAGATATGTTCTACAGGGCGCAGTCGTTCGAAGGCTGATCAGCGCTTAACCCGGGTTTCTTTTTCTTTTGTTAAGAAATATTTCTTTGGATAATTTTCTCAGTTATTTTTAAAAGCGTCCAATCATCAACCTGTTGGCAAAATGAAGCTTCTACATCTGAGTTCAAATTTCGCAGTAACTCTCCTCGCCTGGGTTATCTTAACCCATCTTTGAACAACCCGGTCTAGGTACTGTTAAAAAGCAAACAGTTGACAAAGTTTTAGATGTCATCATGCATTAATTTTATTTGATATTGGGAATTCCACATGCAGACAATTACTGAAATTTACAATTAAATGCCGGAAACCGTTACTGGCCAGTCTTCTTAACTTGTGATGATATTAAAGAACGATCCAAGACCACATTTTTTAGGTGAATGCCGGGGCACAATGATTGTGTTTGAACGCTGGTTCACTTACACTACACCTCTCAATTTAACACGTTTCAAGGGAATCATGGCAGCCTTCAGTGGAATGTGTGTGCGGCTCTCGTCAATAACTTTTCCAGCAATTTAGTCGAGTGTATTGATTTCAGTGGCTTGAGTGGCGCTACTGTGGGCTGGTCACGTTTTTCCGAATAAATAACATAGAGCTAAAATGTTCGTTTGTCCAGTGCTGAAAATATCACAAGTCATGATGAAATGGTGCCGCTGAGCTTCACATCTCGGTAGATTTACTTGGTGGAATAACGGCCGCCGAGCTACACAGCTCGTTAGATTTACTCTATGGCACTACGGCCGCCTAGCTACACAACTCAGTAGATTTACTTTGTGGCACAACAGACGCTGAGCTTCACAACTCGCCGGTAAATTTACTTTGTGGCACAACGGACGCTGAGCTAAACAACCCTGTTTGATGCATGCACCAGGGGTAGCACGCATTTTCCAAGGAAAAATATGAAGGCTTAATCCAAAGTAAAATTTTACTCAGGGTGTAAACTTTCAGCACACTTTTGAAAGATGAACGCTTTGGAAGATTCATTGAACACGGATCGATAGTAGACCTTCAGCAAACTCTTAAATATGTACGCTTTACGAAGAGTCAGCACACTTTTGAAAGATGAACGATTTACGAAGACGATAACACACGAATTACCACGTGAGTTAGCGCGTCAAAGTGAGGCAAAACGTAAGCAAGCGCCTCAAAAAGGGGCAAATGTGTGTCGATGACGACGACGAGTGCAATCTCGAAAAAAACTCTTATTAATTGCACAGGACACCCAATAATGCACAGAACACCCAACAAAAATTAGGGGTTGAACTCTCGTACCTCGAACGCAATAAGTCCGCGTTAGCTGTTAACTTGTTGTATGTAGCTGTAGTTTTTGTTGTATCTCTTTGTTTTTTAGTATGTCTTGTTTTTTTTTTTACTAGTATCCGGGTCCGCTGTAATTGGACACGGCTGCTGCGGTGTCCCTGCCAACGTTCTTTCTGTTTGTTTTCTTTTGTTTTGTTTTTCTTTTGACGAAGCTAATAAAATACGAAGTGTATGTTAAAGTTGTTTAAATGCCATTATTATTCATTCAAAACATTTCCCCAATTCTGATTGGCTAAAAGCACACACATAATTCACCATAACCAGTTACTGATGACCAAATTTGGAAGAATTTTGTGTTTAACGAGGAAATGACGTCAAAAATGCAGCGTTCGTGCAGGTTAAGGCACCGTTAACCGAGAAGACCTGGGGACGAGGTTGAGTTGTTTTGGTTGTGAAAACAAAAAGTGGCGGACACTTCACTCTTTTCAAGAGTAAGAACTAGGCGAAATAATAGCTAAAAACATGGCAAGAACAGCAAGAACACAACTCGAAGGGCGACATCTGCTATTTGGAGAACATTTGCGGAGCTTAAAAACCCTAAACGTGCACTATCGAAGGTGAACTTAACATCGATCGAGGTAAAAGCATGTTTTAGCTTTGCTTTTAAACTTGGAATTATTTTGAATGAATAAAAAAACAATTATTGAATCCGGCTTTCGCATCAAATGAGGAATTATGGACATCTGGGAGGGTATTATCCGCCTCGGCCTATGGCCTCGACGGATAACACCCTCTCGATCTCCAAAATGCTTCATAAGATACTCAGCCTCATTCATTAATTGTTAAATAATTCATGAAATTAATTTGTATTTGCTATATTGTTCCTCAAGTGAATGAAATACATGTAAAGGCAGATAATATGAGATAACTACATTCAAAGATATAGAAATAAGAGTAGGTTTTCATGACCTGCATTAACTCTGATTGAAATTGGTGGTATGCATTTGTATTTAACAAATAAAAAGGCATATGATATTAGTGACACATATCGAGGCCTAAAATATGGGTCGCTGAAAAGAATAATTGTTAATAGTAGTTTCTCAGTATTATAGATATAGAACAGGTGATGTGACTACTTTTATCAATAGAATCTTAATTTATTTGTTAAATGAAAAAAGCCTCTGCAAGAAATCCACCCGCACATGGTAACTGTTGTAAGTGAATAGTTATTTAATGTTATTCTTATTTTAGGTGGAGGCGGTGGTGGATTTTATTCCAGTGGAAGAAGCTCAACACAGTTCGGAGGTTCAATGGGGAATGGTGGAGAAGGAGGCAAAGGATTTCTTCAGGGAGGAGTGGGTGGAAGAGCCTGGTATTACAATGCTGTAGGCGGGTTTGGAGGGGGTGGTGGCGCTTATGGATGGGGAGGGGGTGCTGGAGGTGGTGGAGGCTACTCTGGGGGAAGTAGCGGGGATAATGAAGATGACTCCTGCGGAGGAGGGGGAGGATCCTATAATACTGGAAAGAATCAGCAGAATGAATGCTGTTATAAAACAGCTGGACATGGTCAGGTGACCATAACATTGATATAGATTACAAACTGTATCCTAGCAAGTAGTGTGGTTGAAGTTCCTAAAATTTAGAGCTTGGTATACCAGTGTAGACATAGAGATTGTTGTCCATGCATTGAAACCTTTATAGTCACTTTTTACCCACTACTAATATATAGATTTAGCCACAGCTAAAAGCGAAGCTCCCATTGATAAATTTAGAACTTAAGAGCCCATGACTCTAAATATCGAGAATCGCTGGCCAGGCTAAAAAAATCGAAAATTCTGATAATTTGTCAGAAAAACCCCTTTGGGGAACTATCTTCGAAAAAAATATTTTTAACTTTCAAGAATCTATAGTGTTCGAGAAAATGAGGAAAAACCAAAATAGCGTTTTTTACCTAATTAATTATGCAAAAATTAGAGTAAAAATGGTCTACTTTATCGCGTCGGTACCGAGGCAAGATTTAAAGCTATAAAACAGAAATATTTTTGTTTAAAAGCATTTTATCTTTTCTTTCTATCCATGGTATGTTTTAAACCATAAACACGATTTTGAATTTTTTTTTGATTTTGTACTCCACAAATCAGTTAACTTAAGGGCACATTCATGTGACTTTTGAGGGAAACGCTAAGTGATTTTGGAGTGAAACAAATCTTGTATCGAGTTGATATAGCCTTATATGTACACCCAAAAAATAGTCTTCGGTGACATTTAAGAGCAATAATGGCTCTTGATCACAGCAGATAAGGCGTGGAAAACAAATTCTTGGAAAACAAATCAGGCCAAATTTTTTGCGTTCGACAAGTTTTCAAATTCTTGCCAATAAATCTGGGTGCGTGCAAACCATTCTTTTATTTATTATTTTTTTTTAATACACCACATCTGAGGAGAAGCAGTACTATGAGGCGCTGTTTTTATCATACAGACCTCGTACAAAATGCAGTATTTCACAATTTTCAGTATTTACGGTCAATTAATATCGACTAAAGGCTTTTTAAAGTTCTGTAAGCTTATACCAAACCCAAACCTCATACTAGGTCAGATCAGTGTCTCAGTCAAATCTTAATATAAACGTGCATAAACTAGCTTCATAAACTACGCCGCTGGACTTCCTGAAATTAGATATAAATACAATAATTTACTCAGGCTTACCATATTTCGAGATGCAGCTCCTGAAAGCTATCAAGTAAGGCAAACTTCGCTTGAGCCTTTATAATTCTCGTACGCATCCAGCAAGGTGAAAAACAAAAACGATGCCATCGGAAATGGGATTATCGGCTTTGACGAGCGACGCATTTCTCAAGCAAAAACCCAATAAACAAACCAGCCATGAATAAGAGAAGACTCTTGATAGCAGCTGTATTTCATTTTTTACATCCAGTGAAAAAAGGCAGTTAAAAACATCACAAGTTGACTCAAAACTCTGTCAGCTTCAGCTGTCAAAGTAAACAACTTTCAAGATGCTGCATAAATTTTACGCATGAACTCACCTGTCAAATTTTAACCCATCAGAGCATAAAAATTGGACGTGAAGCGTGACCAACACGTGACCATGATAAGAAAAGATCTTCCCCGCCTGTGTTTTAAAAAAACTGGCTGAATTTTTGCGTCTGAGGTCAGTTTGAAATCAAAATCGTAATAGTGCGGGGCGATACTGACATAAACACAACATATTTGATATGAATTAAAACAAATAAACTTGAGCCTGCGATCATTGGAAAACGAGTAAATTGTCAGCGGATAACTTGATGGCTTGAGACCTGAGCCCGCGATACGGTTAGGTGACACTGGTCAGCGAATACCCTGTTTTCACAGCTGTCAATTGATGACAACATTGAAGTGCAATCAGCTTTCTCCTGGACTCCCAAAGTAGCTAGAACGTGTGAGAGTAAACATTGGTATGCTTGTGGTGCGAACCGACGGGCAGCGGGCGGGCGGTGTACGGTTACGTGATTACCAAATTTTCTGGGATGGGTAGATTTACTTACCCAGGTGCTCCGTAGGCGCGCTTCGCGCGCCAGAGCTCCACTAAAAATAATAAAAATGAAGCCAGGCAAAGTGCAGCGCTTATAAGACCGATAGGTACGGGACGACAAAGGCCAGATATCAAAGTAAAGACTTTTCTCATCACTGGACTGACCGTCAGTAGAATTCCCTCTTACTTGGAATCACATAAACTCTCCATCTTGAAAGGCGAGAGTAGCAGAGGGGTATGCCGGTCTCCACTTCCGAGCACCAAGTGTGAACATTACGTAAGCTCTCTTTTGTCCATTGTGTAATTGCATTGAATATTTTTACCACGTCTTATCGTGCTGTGAAAATCTCAAAAATTGTATCGTAATTGCTGAGTGATCTTGTTCTGGATACAGTGTATAGTCTCCGTTCTGACAGCAATAATAGTGCTGTCATTCCCAAATTTAAAAACTTTAACAATCCTTGGGCGACCGCGCTTTCGTTGCTCCTGCGCCTAAACTGGAAAGGTTTACATCTGCGATGGAATGGCCAGATCTGGTGTTTAAGACTTATATTTTTAGTAAGGCTTGTTCTTAGTTAGGTTTATGTAATACCTGTCCACAATGCATTATCAAGTTATTGCCCATGCAGGGATCCAGAAAGGGGAAATTCCGAGGAGGCATGCAAGTAGCTCATGCGTGTACAAAGGCGAGCATTTACAGTGACCCAATTTTACAGTTACATAAAATTATACAGCTGGAAACTAGGCTGGAGTTGACCTTGTTTTGATACAACCCTTCCTGCTTTATTACGTATAACGTGTTGTTCGTTAGTTAACTAGTATTTTTAAGCATAGTTTCCATAAAAAAAGGAAGGAGGATTGCATCAAAAGGTCAAACCTCAGCCTAACGTTCACTTAAAGTGTAGGATACTAAGTTCACGACTGTAAAATAGCCACGGTCTGCCTAGTATTAGGAATAACATGATAACGGCCTATGATTTGAATAATTGATTGTTCGACTGCAATTAAAAGTAAAGAACATAGAATATAAGCACCCTTCGAAAACAGTCACATTTCCATAGTCTTTAAACTTCAATGATCGTTTACTCGAATTAATAGAAGAAAGAATCAAATGAATGTCATTTATGCTCCATGTTCCTTTAGATATTATTGAGTCAGTTATTGCTGTTGGTGGAGTCTCACTTTGGGTGAGCTCTGTTTCTCTGGGATACCCAATAATGACAATTCCAGTTTGGGATAAATTTGGCCACAAGAGTGACCCTATATTTAACTTTAAGCACATCAAGCTATGGGAAAATCCAAATACACAAGAAGATTTATCCCAGCAAAGGTGAGGGCACACCCGCCATCCGGGAGATGAAAGTGGAGCCAAAGGGAAGGAAAGGGAGGGAAAATGTTTTCCAACTTTCTTGTGTTGCAGTGAGCAGAGAGGCCTTGTGCCCGGCTCTCATGTCATAAAAACACAGTAACACCCTCTCCCCAGAAGCTGGAGAAATGACGCATTAATGAGTCACATTAACCATAAAACCATTTAATTCTTTCAGAAATAAATTTCCTGTATAGCTGATTCAATAAAATTGTTTTGGGCCCTGGTAATCGATATTGCTTTGTCGTCACTCAAGGAAAACATTGTATGCCCAAATTGTATGCGCAAATGCCAAAGCAACCTTTATTGGTCTTCATATCGCAATAAGCGAGCATAGTAGAAACAGGTTAAATGGTACTCAGCCAGTACTTCTTGCTCTTTGCCTCCTCTTCACTTGCTTTGATTTCTTTGCATGTTTCAGCTGGAAGCTCAGGAGTGAAACCAAGAGGACCACAAGGAAAATGTTCCGTTAATTATGTAATGGTTATTCTCAGGGGCGTAGCTAGGGGGGAGTTCTTGGGTGCCCCTCATCACCCTCCTTTATGAGATTATTGTTTTATGTCTCCATAACTCAGGAGTCGAAAACGCGTTAAATCCGAAAACTCAATGTGCAATAAATCTGGTAAATAGGCTTGTCCCTTCCCACCCTCATTGCTCCTCCAGAAAATGCCAATTTTGGCAAAGCACAGCTGCGTGGCGTTCGACATGTTAATCTGGTAAGTTCCCACAGCTTCATGTATACAAATGTAGCAATCATCGCAGAAATCTGCGCTCAAACGCTTCAAAGCTAAATGCCTTCAAAGCAAACCTGGTCATTTATCAGTGGACTCATACAAAACAGAAGAATTGCGCTTATTTGATTTATATGAAATGAATAAATTCACTTATCATAAGCCCGTATGAAGTGCAGGATGCATTATTAACTACTATACGAGAGAGTTCTTCTGCGTGGAAGACGAAAAAAGGACATGCTCATGCCTGATACATTGTAATTGTTTTTATACGGTTAACGGCAGAACGCTTTAAAACATAACAGAAACTGCATCGGCTGGTAATTGCGGGAATAATTACGGTAAGAAAAAACAAATTAGTTAATGTCTGCAAACGAAACTCGAACCTGCCTAAAAACCTCACAGATACGCTACTCTTGCTCGCTAGACCTGTAGGCAGTCTATCGAGAGGCTGTTACCTTGGCGCTATTTTGTGTATCGGTGCCTTTACAGATCATTGTTAGTGATATTTTATCTATATACATTTCTTTTATTTTAGGAAATCGAACACAATTTATGTAGGTAAACATAAGGATTAGCACCATTTACAACAGTCTGACGGTTTTTATCGTTTTTTTTTTTTACGATTTTGTCGTGGTGCAGTAAAGTAAGAGACCGTGAGTCACTTTTATTTCAATTGGCTGCTAATCGTAATTAACAATGCCGTTGAAAACCGCTGCAATGCATCTTAAATCACACAAAAACCTTTTGTAAACGGTCAGTGAAACGTCGACAGTGTCATTTTAACAAACTTCAAGTGTGCTGCAAAGTTTAACTGAGTTGTAACTAAAAGTTTCAGTCTTTCATCATTGTTGGTATTTCAGCGAGGTATAAAAAGTCCACAGTCTTGTAACTCCTGAGAAATAACCTTTGGAAATGGTCACAGAACTGATCTTTTTATAATTTACGAGTAATGCCACGTTCAAG